GACGACGATGTTGTTGTAGCGGTACATGTAGCAGTATCATTACTAGTATCATGGGTCTTCCAAAAGAACCGGTTTCTACAAAGTTCATAACATCTACAAAGCCCACTTAAGTTAATGTTGTTTTATGCCGCAGTAAGTCACATGACAGGTGGTGGTGTGTACCATTATCGTGCTTGCACCCAGAAAGGCATTGATTGATAGTATAAGGAATAACGTCAGATTACAAATATCGGTAAATTCACACATTGTAACCATTCAATCGTCACTCCTGTTGTGAGAGACACGAAAAGGATACATGAGTTGCGCCCCTTTGATGTGACAGGATACAGTGGTTATGACCTGGGATCCGGGAGTTGACCTGCTTATGACTTTCTGGTCCGGAGTATGGTATATCTGTGATCGTTTGTGTCACCATAATTATCGATAACGTGACCTCCTATATCAAGTTGGCACTGAAGTATCGTTTTAAGCTGCGTTTAGCCCAAGGTACTCATCCGTGTCGGGTTTCATACATTACAGCTCACTGCTGACTTCCGAGTGATGTTCATAAAATGCAGTTTCAACCCGGACTCGTCCGAGCACGCCGGTGCTGAACATTGTTCATTCAGTAGCCCATGTTTTACCGTTTCCTCTCTCTTAGAGACCATATGGCATCTGCTCTCTCCATGAAACTGCATTGCAGGCGTTCGTACTTCGTAGCCCTTGTAGTGTACTATCAACCAACACGCAGCTTTACCTAAATAGTTGTCAAAAACTAAGCTACCTGGAAAATATGCTAAAACATCCAGTTGTTCTTACGTAGCGATGTTGTCACAACCGTCTTTAGTTTTATTGATACTTCTTTCCGCTACGCCACGCTGTTTCATCTTTTTTCACGTCGACAGTATCTTCGGCGCATGTCCTGCCATACCGGAAGTGCTAAGCAACCGTGGCCTGATTCCGAGACATGCTGGAAGATATGATATCAGCATCTTTGTCCTGTTTATCGAAATGATATGAGCGGTTTGGCAGCGACACAAATATTTAGGGAGTTGCCAAGACAGTCTGTGCACATTATCATATTATGCAACAATTTCCCGACACTACGGGGTATGAACTTTGTAAGTAAACATCTACATTCTCTGTAAACAACAGTATCGTGTTGCAGAGCACGAAGACATGGTGATCGTCACATGTGCGACTGTTTCTCTTAATGACTGCACAAACTGATTATTTTTGTTATCTTATTTATTCCGCATGCTTTCGGTGGCGTTTCCTTGACACAGGTTTCTCATTTCTACATTAAGTGCGCCTCAGATGCTAAAAAACAGAAATTGCTGACTCGAAAACAAGAATACGTTGTCATTTTTGTCCTTGTGCGTATATTTGTTGTTAAACGCACGCTCAGCAGAAATTGTCAGAACTAAGTAAATAATCGAGGCTGGAACAATCCAGTGATCGACATAATGAGCATTGATCTACGCCAATGGGAGTTTTGTTATAGTAATTGATAGTAATTTACTTCTTGAAATGATTGAAATATTAACGTTTCAGTTAACGTAAACATATAACAGAGAGTAAAAACAAGCTTATATTACATTGGTTTCTTTAAAAGATTAGGAACTTTATTGTTAAGTAACTTTTTTTTATTTATCCCCTGATTGCTGAATTAAATATTCGAGAATTAAACTTGACATAGCTTAAATTTACCTCAACCAAACTGTCAGCGAATTTATATGAAAAACAGACGATTATTTTAATGCTGACCGAGTGAGTGAATTTGGACTTTCATCTTCAGCAACGTCCAAACCAAACTGCAGCCTGGAAAATCAAGAACTGTCTTCACACACGGTACAGAATAACGTTAAGGGGAAGTCTTACCCAATTTGGCGTCAGCACTAAATACAGGGCTTATGCTTTAAACCTCATTACGACTGAGTCCGTGACATTCAAACTTTGCTTTAAACTTTACTTCAAAAGAAGAAAACTGTAACACAGGACCATAAAATATTGTACGGGATGATATTTGATACCTTCTACGTTTTAAGCTTGTCTCTGACGTTTTTGACACATGTTTAACTTGAAACAAAACAAAATTTAGGTTTTCAGTCTTTGTATGTTTATGAAAACAGGTTAAAATATCTCCGATGCGATCTTAAAAGACGGACCCTCTTTTAATGCGCTAACCAATCCGGAACTTGTCTACATCCGTACATATTCCCAAAACCAGCAAAGCAATCTTTTGAGGTATCACAAACCTTACGCTTAAACATGTGGTTATATTTTCCGTGAAAGATCACACGTACTTGTCATTTTTTTCAAAGAGAGAGAGAATGTTCTTTTAAAAGCAGGAGACTGCAATATTCCTGGTATGTGACGGCGTCTTATACTGAATTGAGATTGGACAAGACAAACCTGTGGTTGATAGCACGAGCAACGGTCAGGTACGATGACACGTGACCATTCATGTCTCCCATTAACCTAATACATATAGTCATTAGTCGACTATTGCCGTCGAGTGAGTGAGTTTACTTTTATGCCGCTTTTAGCATTATTTCAACAATACCACGGCGGGGAACACCAGAACTGGGCTTCATTGTACCCATGTAGGGAATCAAACCTGGGTCTTCGAGCGAACGCATTAACCACTAAGCTACCCCACCGCCCCGTCGTCAACACGTGTAACACACTGGTTGTTAGATATACTATCAGGTTTACACTACCAAGGCAGTGACACCATAGAACGCACAGTGGAGGTTAATAAGCGCATAGTTTGACGTCATCAGTGTTGTCTTAACAACAGAAACAACAAAAAGGACCGTGCGTGTTGTTCAAAATGCGATTTTCTCTCCAGGAACAATATTCTGTTGTCAGCTGATCCACTGTGAAGTTGCGTGGCTATATTGGGAACACTTATTATAAATCATCTCTTGTTTATTTTCACTAAAACTGATCAGTGTTCCAACAGAACCTCTTAAACAATGTTAAACTGACGGCGTTCTTTCATCCTCTGGAAGTACGTACACCGTCGGTATGTTCCCAGTGAGATTATTAGCCCTACATTTACTCCTCCAGTAACAGGGAGTCGTACAGTATAATACAGTTTCATCACGGAGTACGGAATATTGACGATGTTTTGAGATGATAAAGACAAACGACCTTGATTAATCATTTCGAGGATAAGACAAGAAAGGTTTCGGTTTCACTCAAGCGAACACGCACGTGTCGTAATAAACCAGATAATGTTCTTGTTACGGAGTTAACACAATCGCTTCGCATTTCGGGTTTCATGATTGTGTTAATGTGTTTACTGTTTTAAACCGCAGTCAGCAATATTCCAGCTAAATGGCCGGGCAAAAAGAAAGAATACACTTTTGACGGTGGATAAACATGAAAGAAATCAGAAAAGGTTATTCGATGGTGATGTGTTTGAAACGTGCATCATAGTTATGTTTTGGACTGTCTCGGCGACTGTTTACAGTCTTGTAACTTCTGATAACGTTTAAGCCATGTCCAACTTTTAGGCGTACACTTTCTTTTGGTCGGTAGTGTAAATAATTAGGTGCTCAAATAAACTACCAGTGGCTATAACTATATAGTTTGTCATAGTGAGTGATGTTTACGCCGCTCTTAGCAATATTCCAACAATAACTCGGGGGACACCAGAGATGGGCTTCATGTACCCATGGGGAATCGAACCCGGGCTTTCGGCGTGACGAGCGAACGTTTTAACCACTAGGCTACAAACCGCGTTTATCATAGACTTAGGTGCTCAAATAAGCTACCAATGAGCTATAACTTTATAGTTTTTCATATACACATGTACTTAGTCAAATGAGCTACCAATTAACTATCGTAACGATCATATAGTTTATCATAGAGTTAGGAAACATGATAGTGCTATGACCGCTCCGTTGATCGGGCCCCTTTACCGTATATGTATTTATGAAAACAAAACCAAGTCCATCCAGATCTATCCCACATCAGGAACATATATACAGGACAAATGTTTTGAGTAAACAAATATTTCATACACCGTATGTTAGTGTACGGTGTTCACAGAAGGTTTCGCTTCTTGTTCAAAGAAACAGTGGTTTACAAAATTACAAGTAAGTAAATAATAATGTACCACGAATTTCCATTCCTGAATCCTTAACGTTTAGTCAAAACACGTGCCCACCCAAATATTGACACTAAATGGTTTGGTAATGTGAATAATTGCATTGTTTTCCATGAGGAGTTTCCACACGTGTACCATATTGAGACCACGGCATTCTGGGATTGGATTACAGCACGCGTCTTGCAGCAATACATTCATAGACACGTGCGAGTTGGCATGGTAGATTGGACGTGGTTGTTGGAAATAAGTTGTTAGGAAATGTACAGACTATGTTATATAAGCAAACGACTAACATCACGTCTTTTCGTAATTACTGCCTGAAAACGTGGGTTTACATTTTCCTCTTTGGATGTTGATGAGAAATTACCCATACTTTATCCATTCACGCACGTGTAAAACACAGCCGCTATTGCGCTGCATTCATTTTCTAGTTGAGGTAAGTAGAAATTATCTGGGCTAGTTCTCAATGAAACACATGGTGATTAGAACACTTTCGGGGAGTTTGAAATAATTTCGTTGTAGGGAACATTCTATTTACTACGGGACCAGGAATACTAAGGTTGAAGGATAGTCATCGATCGGTATATTAGACTTGGTTCAAATAGAGGCTGATGTGTGAATGAGTTTAGTTTTACGCCGCACTATATGCTAATGACGTCAATCACTGGATCGTCCGGCCAAGACTCGAGTAATTAGACACCATAACGCTGGAATGTTGCTGAATGTGGCGTACAGCAAACAAATGATTCAAATATGAAAATGCATGCATGCACGTACACACACACACACACACACTGTTGAGGAGGTTGAATGTAGAACTACATTTTTTTTTCTCTTTCGCACCATTCATCGTCCTGCGTGAAATGTCATGAAATATGTCGAAATGATTTCAAACACTTACCTAATTCCTCATACGCTGTGTTTTCTAATCCAACTTCAGGTACAATGAGCAATGCGATCTCCTTCCCTCCCCCGAGGGGTCAGAATGATGTGGTTAGCATTCTGGGCCCCACCCTGCGGCACACCCATACACAACACCACGACACACAGCACATATTTCCATAATCCTAAACTCGCGGGGCGGGGATCTCTCCTGTTGTGTACATGTACATCCAAACCATCACCCTGGGGGTTTGCCTGTGGATGGGGACTGTTTGTATCCACCCTGAACACCATCTTGAAATATTTCCCTGGGGTAGATCACGCTTTTTCCGGGTACTCCGAGCCCCTTCTTGCATACCCCTCACAGTTCAGCCGGGGTGGGTCTGTGTCCCTACCCTTCAGAGAGAGAGAAGGGTGTGGCGTTCATTTGTCAACTCCCGTGGCATTCTGTCATAAGAGATGAAACGTATGTCAAGTATTCAAGTATTTACACATTAATTTGTCGCCATGATCAACATACCACCCCGACTTTTCCCCTCCCTGCTTATCTGCCGGCCGAGAGACAGACTGCCGTACCGTCGTGAAAACCACTCGCCAGAAAAGTACTACGAAGGGCACAGTTCATATCCAACTGGGGTTGATGGCGTATGAATGAATTCGCTGTCAGATTCTAACGAGAAAACATCAACTCTGGGAACACACAGAAATACAGGGGTATATATTTCCTTAAATTAGGGTATCTGGTTTGGTTAGAATAGATCCAAAAGTTAGTTATATGAGTTCCCGTTGCCCTTTCTTCAATAACCAAGTACTTATTAGTTTCGTTCAGTGAATCATGTGCTATCAACTACTGTCGTACACCGACACTGAGGCATCTCTGCACTTAATTTAGTCAGAGTCAGACTATAAAATTACGAAATCACAATAGAGACATTGTTAAACTGACACAGTTAACGTTGATGTAAGATTTCAGACTGTATTTTAGTTTATGTCAACAGTTATTGCTGTGTTTTCAGACAACCAGCTGGAATATTGCCGACTGTGGCACTTACTTGATATATGAGCGTTGACGGTATGTCAGTCTACAGGGTATAGGTTCAGTGATGTAAACAGCGAGCGAGGATAGTTTTACGCCGCCTTCAGCAATATTACACCGGAGGACACCAGAAATTGTAATCATGCAGGGATTCGAAGCTGGGTTCATGCACTAGGCTACCCCACCGTCCCAGTGATGAGATAGGTATGCAGTAATATGGCACCGGTAAAACTCTCGGAATTCCAGGGGCGGATACAGCTTTTGGAGAAGGTGTGTGTGTGTGTCCCACCCCTTGGGGTGGGGTTCACGGGGTTACCAGGACAAAGGAGGTGCACACTCCATACACCCTCAGACTGATCCGCCTATGACATTTTCATGGTTTACGAATGAGGCGTGCCACGTGCAACCAGAGTCCTGACCCCATATACCGCTTGTTACTCAAGACTGTTCCGGTCATGACGACAAATACACCATGTGCTTTGTCCATCATATTATTTGTTGGATGCGTGTGGTGGTAAATGCTAACTGAGTTGAACCTGGAGGAGTGAGTGAGTGAGTGTGGTTTTACGCCACCTTTAGCAATATTCCAGCAATATCACGGCGGGGGACACCAGAAATGGGCTTCACACATTGTACCCATGTGGGGAATCGAAGCGAGCCAACACTTTAACCACTAGGCTACCCCACCGCCCCCGAAACTGGAGGAAGTGTTATTTATAAAGTGAGCACAGTGGCTTGGGTCCTGATCCATCAAAGATGGACATTCGGGTAAATAAAAATACACTGGAACCATATGTTTTTCTCAAAGTTGCTTTTCGCTCCTGTCGGTCGAACCCGAATCTGAAAGATGTGTGTCCTATATAGGAAAAATGGATCGGTTCATGGACTTTTTATGGGTAGACACCTTAGGTCCTAACACCGTTATCAAGTGAGTGATACACATGATGTTGTGTAGCCTAACTGAGTCAGTATCTACACCGAAACGTCGCATCTCTTGTAATAAAGAAGTTGTCTGTCCATAAAAAGTGTCCCTTTACATCATACCAGCTTCTAAATGCCACTTAAATAAGCGTGACGATCTGACGCTTCAATTACTGCCCTTCCCTTCTACCGCCTTGGCGCGTAAACCCTTTAGCCAGCAAACCGTGACAACATCAAAACTAACATCAACTCAGCACTGGCCGTATGAGTATTCGTTTGAAGTCTCTGTGAAATCAGTTTTTACCATGAGTAATGAAGCTTGTCTAATATATGTTCGTCAACGACATAATCACAATCGATTGTCAGAGGGCAGAGGGGTAGCCTGGTGGTTAAGGCGTTCGCTCGTCACGCTGAAGACCCGGGTTCGACTCCCCGCATGGTACAATGTGTGAAGCCCATTTCTGGTGTCCCCCGCCGTGATATTGCTGGAATGTTGCTAAAAGCGGCATAAAACTAACTCACTCGATTGTCAGCTGAAACAGATTCCACTGGGCGTACGACCAAGAGGTGAAATTCTATGAACATGTCACTGAAAATCAGTGATGGCATTGAGTGTTTGCTTTAAGGTTTCCCCTATTGGTAATAATCTCAGTCGAGAATTAAAGTTTAAACGTATGTCTGTAAACTCACGGGCGAAAGAAACGTCACCAAAATGATTTTTTTTATCTTTTATCGTACACTAAGTGATTATTCATATCTGTAGTTCACACTTTCATCATTCAGAATGTTGTAAATTCATTCATTTTCCACATATGATTGTTATATTTCCAAAATCTGAGTTTGTTGTTTTGTGACATGTTAAAAAGCGAGGTGACGTTTCTTTCGCCCGTGAGTTTATGTTAAACATGACACCAAATTACCCATAAATTCGTACACTCGACTTTTACTAAAATCGAGTCCCTGCAAAAAGAAGAAACCAGCTGTTACATACTATTACTCTAAGTCGGGTGGGACTCTCCATGCCCACTCGAGTAGGAGATAAAATTAAAGTTCCCCTGGGTGGCATACGTCGCCTGCAGCAGGCCCAGAGTTAATACAGTTGTCTGCTACATGTAGGTCTTGGGTTTCCGGGGCGACCTGTATCTGACATATACATTACACCCATCACAAAACGAGTCTCCTTGCATATTTTGTCTACCTGGTCGAAGGTGGTAGAGTATAATTACATCATCATTCGTGTTGTATTGAATGAGTGCAGCAGCTTAGACGAGCACCAGTCAGTCATGCTAATCCTTTATGTCGATTTTTTAGTGTGTACGATGTGTGACGTACGTGAATGAACGAAAACATTACACGCGGAGACTGTTGTTGAAGAAAGGTTTTCATTTCATTATGGAAGAATAGTTTCTGGTACAACAGCGATCTTTCGTTCTAGTAGGAATACGAAACTGCTAGTACAGAACGACACCACAAGGTGTAAGCACGCATGGTATCCGCACTGTTAACGGTATATCCCGGAAGAGAGAATTAAAACAAAGCTGACCACATACATGTACGTCGCGATAATGTTGTGTTTAGTTTTATGCTGCACTCGGCAATAGTCCAGCTATATGGCGGCAGTCTGTTAATATTCAAGTCTCGACCAGAAAATCCAGTGATAAACAGCATGAGCATCGATCTACACAATTGGGATACGATTCGGATCTTTACGGGTGGTCGAGCCCTCAAATTGACCCCCAGGCAAGAGGCGACTAACGGGATTGGGTTGTCAGTCTCGCTGACTTGGTTGACCCATGTCATCGTATCCCAATTGCGTAGATCGATGCCCCTGGTACTGATCACTGGATTGTCTGGTTCAGACTCGATTATTTACACACCGCCTCCATGTAGCTGGAATATTGTTGAGTGCGGCGTAAAACTAAACTCACTCACTGTACAAGGTCCGTCTTCTATAAACGCTTAACATCAGCTCCTGGTGGGTTTTCTGTCAACTGTTAGTGCATGTACCATAACGACTGGAGGTAATGCTTTATGACTGAGGTATAACACCCTGGTTGTTGTATTATATCCTGGCCCGTATTCCCACCTGTATACATACTCAGTATGCAAATTGTTAATACTCAGCTTGGTGTAACATGGATTAATACAAGTATCCCTATCAAAAATCGAGTAGTATATCGTAATGAACACATAACTCCAAGATAACTCCAGCCCATGATTATATGCCATCAATTAGTTTCTGTTTAAGTTTCAAATTTAAAGGACTGTAATCCTACCAACGTTTCTGCAGGCCATTAATTAACACGGACAATTAGAAACTAATCACTTTAATGTAATGATTTACAGCATACCTCACTTTTCCCCTTTTACGTAACGAGGTATATTATCACGGTATTTAATCACAGTGCGCAGTCGTTTCCCGTTCTGACTACTTCAAGCAGGTGCTCCTTGTGTAGATTGTTAACTTTAAGCACATTTTAACAGACCGGGCGGTTGCCGCACACTTAACAATATTTAGTTACTTCACAAGCGACAAGAAATGTTAATTTAAAGAAATCGCTCCCTGCTTTAGCGCTAGAGGCAATACAAAACACATGGGCTTCTTGCAGCACACTAAGCTGTTAAGGAGTCTTGTCGTGCGACATTACAAGGAGCATGCCTTCATCCTTTAAATTTAATCTAAATTTAAATTTACCGGTATTGCCTCATTCTGCCTTTTCAATCAATATTTATAATACGTAAAACACTTTCAACAGCAATAGGCATAAAATATAAAAATCTGTAGCACATAATAACTGATAACTAGTACTGCTGTGAGCATTGAGATATTTCTGCATAGATACTGAAGATGAAAACTTATGAATGAGTGAATTGTAGTTTAAAGTCACATATGCAGTATTTCTGTCATACCGTCATTATAAAAAGTTTATATTAATAATGTACTATATTAGTACCTGTCAACAAAGGACAGAAAATATCTGGAAACTAGACAATTTGAAATATGAGTTGACTTGCCTTTGCTTGTGACAAAGGGGCGTTGGAGTAGCCTAGTGGTTAAAGCGTTGGCTCGTCACGCCGAAAACCCGGGTTCGATTCCCCACATGGGTACAATGTGTGACGCCCATTTCTGGTGTCCTCCGCCTCGATATTGGTGGAATATTGCTAAAAGCGGCGTAAAACCATACTTATTCACTGTTTGCGACAAAAATCGAGAAAATTCATCATCGAGCTTCCTTGAACTCGAACAATGCATGCATTTGGCCCGACTAACCAAACAAGTCTCAAGTTTTCTTTTGAACAAAACATGGCGGATCAGCAGCCATATTGAAAATCAATTCGAACAACTTGAACACATTGCTGTTAGGTTTCAGCTTCATTGGTACAGAGGTTTCAGAGGAGAAACACCCATAAGCTCACTTTCAGTCAGTTGCGCTGAGACAGGCACTTGCTCACTACCACTCATAGTGTTAAATATCACCAAGTGGCATGGGTGTTTTTTACGAATCCTGCAAAAATAGATTCCAGTTCGTGCGCTGAATACCATGCCGTCACATCTAATTTCTTCCATTTTGTTTACCTTACTCATGGTAATTCCTGGGAGGTTTTTCTTTCTTTCTTTTTTG